CCCCCAGCCTCATCCTGCTGCCTCTGGGTGTGCGTGAAGAGGTGCCTTTGTCCCCTCCATCATGGCTTTTGTCACCTTCCACCTCCCTCCCTGCTGCCAGGCTGGGCTTGGGCGAGGACTGCGCTTCACTTCGGGCAAAAAAATCACGCCGGGTTAGCTCAGCCTACCAATTAGTGCCAACCCCGGCTGATTTTTATTTTTTTTCTGCTGTGTAAATCCCTGGGGTTAAAATGCAGGTTGTTACCTGCATGATTTTGATTGGGACACAGAAAGTCTAATCAACAGCAATACTGGCAGTCTGTTCATGAATGGATTTGCTGTGCTTTAGTCTTCAAAACCATAACTTATTTTTTTGTCTTTTTAGCAGTAGTAAAAATAAACAGCTTTTCATAAAGTGTTTCCCTGTTTCTGATTTGTCACCTTCCTCTGTTTGCGATTAAGAAACGAGTAGGTCAAGCCTCTATTTGAAAGCATGGATGACAGCTTCTGGTTAGAGTAATTGAGCTTTGAGTTTTGAAAATCAGTACTCTTTCCTCTCTAGGGGGGGCCGTGAAGGGTTTTGAGGCACGGAGAGCGGCAGAATTGAAGTCTGCCAAAACCCCGGCCGATCTTTCCCCTGGCCAAGAGTGTCTCCTTGCAGGCTGCGAGAGGAATTGGCTTACTCCCGGTGGTTTTGGAGAGCTTTTTCCCTGGCTGCGTTAGCTGCATCCTACAGCGGCTCTCGCCCTTTCCTCGCTGCGCTGACCTGTCGCCCATCTGCCCTGCACCAGAATAGCAACGCAACGGGGTGAATCATTGCCACAAACAAGGTGGTGTTCACTTTGCCGGCGGGGGGGGGGGGGAGAGGAAAGAGGAGAGAAAAAAAAAGCCGTAAAAACAACACGGAAAACTGCCCCCGTGCACAAAGGAGGTTTAGGGAGCGCAGGAGCCAGCCGGTGGATTTACACCGGCTTTAAATAATATCCTTAATATGGGAAAGAGCCTGATTTACTCCCTATCTCTCATGTGGTGGCGGTGGGCCAGGTGTCCCTGTGCTGTGAACTGCGGTGGCTCCAGCGAAACGCCGCGGGGCGGCGGTGCCCGGGATGGCTCTGCACAGCACCGCTCCCAAAAGACACC